TACACATCAGATCCAGATTTCTGTACAGGCTGCTGACACAGGACAGGACCAGCTGCGGCCGATCTGGGGGGACTTTGGCGGTGTAGCATACCACCGCGGGCGACGAGTTCTTCTTGTTCGCAGCTGGAGGCCGCTATTATTTTTGGGAAGAAGGCTCCCTCACTATCCATCGGAACGTGTTTGGGTCGCCGAAAGAATTTTTGGATTACGTGTTGCGGGAGGGAGGCGACTATTTCCCGGACGTGAGGATCGAGGCACGGCCGGGGGCCAATTTTCTCTGGTGGCCATAGATTATGGTCACCGACAAGCCTGTTAAGGCAATTCGTTGCCTGCCGTATTAGTTCCAACCATAATTTTTCCGACCGTTGTCGCGCTTGCGTCTCTGCATGCGAAGCCCGCCTAAGCGCTTTGCCTCTCCAGTTGCGAGTGGTCACGGTGCAAAATAAAATTCTCCAAAGGAATCATGCGCGCGGATACCAAATCGTCCCAGGAAATGGAGCGAGGGTCGGGGAGGGGGATTCAAGATTTCAATGTGCAGTACATCTTTACCATTCATTACCATTCAAGTTGCCGTATATCGACTGGCGAAGTAACAATGAGAAACATCTGAAGAAGAGAACGTTTGAGTTCCAGTCACCAAACGGATCGGGAATCGAGAACGTACCACGAAAAGGGAAAAAAAATCAACATCATAAGGATCTGTAGTCCCAGCGAGTAATTTCTTCGCCAGCCGCAAGTCCCTCCAGCAATAAAGATTTAACCCCTGCTGACGGAGTCCATGCAGACCATGAATCGTTTCCGAGTCTGGTTTGATCCCATGTTCTATAATTAATGCAGCGCTCTTGAGGGCGCAGTTCTCGGCTGTGCGCCGGGATTTCAACATCTCGAGATAAGCCATGTAATCGAGGTGGCTCTCCTCTTCACATCCAAAGAATATGAGATGTAGATGTGGTGCGATCATAGGGCTGGTAAGGGTCGCGATCAAGGCGTCGATCTTGTCGCTGCTGTGTTCGTCGTTGTGAAGAGGAAGGGGGAGTTTTTCAGAATTCTGGCCGTTGTATGCGCCGTATGGGACACAAGACATAGCCGTTGGAGGGAACACAAGGAGCGATCAAGGAGGGAGAGGAAATGTGAGGGGGTATCTTCCCCACTGTTCCCCAGTGCGAGTTCCTCCAGGGCAGGAATCTTGAAGTACTTTAATGCTCCCGCAGACGAGATGTATAGGCGCCGAAGACGCAACAAATCGACGATTTTTGGAGAATCTGGCCAAGCTTCTTCGTCGAAAGCAATGTCGATGCGGGCTTCGATAATGTTCGGAGTTTGCTTCAATACGCGTATATGCCCTTCCAACTGACAGTCTATGTCGTAGCGGGTAAGCTGATGGACCGGAAGCAGAACCGGTACAAAACGATATTCGTTGAAAATGCTGATGTTGACCAGGGAAGGCGCGGTTTGGAAGCAATCAATGGAATGCACTCCAATTTGATCGTCCACGGTGTCCACTGAATCCATAATCTCCGGAGAGACGGAATCCGATTGCGAAGACCGACCAAAGAGGGTACCATTTCGGCAGTCAAACCAAGACTGAGCTCTTCCCAACGTGACGAGTGCTCCAACAGGAGTTTGAGCATCTCGAGTTGGGGACGAAAATTCATTTCCTGGCTCGCATAAAAATGGATCCTGAATGTTCGGGAGAGTATATACAAAACCCGACACAGCGACACACCTGTCAAAAATCAGTAAATCTGACACACCCAGGAAAACCTGCACACAGGTCAGGAAATCCGACACATTCCGCCGCAAACGACACGGTCTTCAGGAAATCCGACAGGGTCTTCAGTAAATCCGACACGATTCCAGGAAACCCGACACACCGCTCGGCTGTCATGGCTTGGCAGTGGATGCCGTTACTACTGATCTAGACTGATCTGCTAGTGTGCTTCCTTCCCCCACGTTTCCCGCCGCCGCGACACCACGTAATGGGGAAACTTGAAGCGCTTCTGATGCGCCTCCCGACACGGTTCTAGAGCAGTTTCGGGATGAGGCATGTCTCTCAATCTCCCGTTTGATACAGGCTGATGTTCTGTAGTCGTTCCCCACGAACTTCAGGACCAAGCACCCGCAATTGTTTTCCGGGCAATGAAGTGCACTGGAAAAGATTCCGCGGGCGGCGCGTGTGGCGGTTACTAGGTTCTAAAATAAGCGGTGAAGGCCAGTACGATCTCATCGACTCGAGTTTTATCCCTCAATCAAACACAGGAGCTCCCGAGCGGTCGAAAGTATTATTTTGCATGCAGCAATCGTTCCAACTCGTGGAAGAACCATTCTGGAATCCAGATTCGTCCAGATGTCGACAAGGATTTATGTGTTCGCCTTTTTCGCGGGGAGTCGATCACCGAAGGCGCGCTGGAATCAACTAGTGAGCCTTGCAGTCGCATTATGGGGAGCGGATCTGGAAAGAAAGGGAAATCTCAGTGCCGTCTGTGTTCTTTCATACATTCATCCACATTACTGATTTCCCCCAGCCTTTCCGCATCTCAAGGAGGGTAAAATATACACCGCTGCAATGGTAAAGCCCAAATGCGAGGCTGCTACTGCTATACTCGTCCCTATTGCAATCGTGATTCCGAAACATCTCTGCCCCCATACGCATCCGCCTCCGCCAGCCACAAGGGTTCCTACTGACGTCAGGCTGCTCTATGAGCGGGCAGTTCGTGCGTATGGGATATCCGTAGCAACAGTAAACAAAGTCGAGCAGGGTGAGTCAGATTTGCAGCGTGTGGGAGTAAAGTTTGGGTGCGGCCCCGGGTTTGGTTCACCCTTCCCTTCTGAACTTCACGACCAAACAAACAATCACTGCGGCTCTGAAACGCCGCGAACCCGGCAGGCGACAAACCTGGATGGGAAGTGATACTCCTTTTTCACGTCGTTGCTTTGCTGAAATTCGTACTTGATCCAGGTCTCTTTGATCTGTACAAAGCCGATCAAGCAAAGGAGCCAAGACAACGTTACATCGGGTCGCAGTCCACCCTCAGCCGTAATCACAACATTCGAGGCTGTTCTCCTAGATTGTGTTCAATGGGTGCGTAGCTTCGACCAGGATACGGCGTTCAAGCGCATGAAAGCTGGTTTGTTGAATGAATTGCACCTGAGCCATCAAGCTCCGGAAAGAGACGGTCAGTAGCACGCTCTTACCACCTTCCGATCTAACAACACCCCTTAGAACGATGCGCAAGCCTAAGGCATGGAGCGTCAGGCACACAGATGACCGAATTTACACATCGTTTGAATTTCTTGCCCAATTTCCGGACGAGTATCGAGCATTGTACGGGGATACTGAGCCCGCGTAGTTGTATCTTTCATTGTTCTTGATGTATCTGTGTTCATATACAATATTATTTTCTCCAAACGATGTCTTACTCTTGAAACGGAGAATCGATGAAAATGCGACTTGGATTTCTAGAAGACTAAGTCTCTGGATACTCCTCCCCATCGCATACCTTCAAGTCTGTGAGGTGGAGTGTAGCTGGATAGGAAATACAAGATCACCAGCAGCACAGTAGTTGGCCAGTACTAGGGCGGCACTCGACTCTAGCGCGATCTAATTCCATCAGCTGTACGAGGGAGATCTATTGCGGTTCACTTTAAAGATCATTTCTTTGATTGTGGCGCTCTTGTTACATGATTTTTAGAAGGAATGTAAAGAGTGAGAGTGAGTTTCGATGGCCTGCGGATTGGGCCTCGCTCGTGTTCTCAGGCTAGAAAGTTAATTTCAGGAACGCGCGGGCACAGTTCCTTGATCTATTAACTAATGATGCTCTTCTATACGTGCACAGAGCGTCGACGGCTCAGGGGGGACCGGGAATATATTTGGGGGCAACGCTGTTTAGATGCTTGAAGCATTGAGTAATAAACTAGATGAACATGGATTTGCCGTTGAATCAGCCCGCTCTCACTGGGTCGAGTTGACTGAGCACTACGGAAAAGCATGGGAAGCCTTACTCAACGGCTTTTCCAGGCTGCTCTTGTTTCTTGCAGAATCGACTCAATGCAAGAACGCCAAAGCGGTCTGCATACCGCGGAACATATTGTGTCGCATAGTACCTAAATACTGTGCAGAAGGGTCGGTAAGTGTGTAGTTCAGAACATTCTTGTCAGGAATTGGATGTTGACTATCCGAAATAGCGCGGCTATAGATATCGTCAGTAACCACAATGGAAATCTGGTCCGAAATCACCTGGGCCCGGCACGCAGCGAAGAGGTGGGTCGCCAAAGATGCACGAGAAAGGAGAGATTCAAATGCTTTCGCCCCGCGGATCTTAAGCACCGTTTGAACATTTTGATTAACTACATGTAGCTTAATGTTTTGAAAGTATCATGTTCCTGGTACCAGTCATGGAGGGAGGTTCTGTTAATCGAAGCTTGGATTAAACATTGTACGTTGGCTGTTCTTGATTGATGGCTGAACGACTTGCAGAGGAGTTTGATTAGATTAACCTTGATCTTGGTATGGATGGGCAAGAAATGTTTCAATATTGAAAGGTGCTAGTGAAGAGCTGAAGAGTTGTGACAGTTTGAAGCATTGAGGACGAATATAAGTAAGTGTAACGGAGCACTTCCCCAAAGTTATTATTTTGCGTTCGAAGCAACTATGACATTTTTTTTACTTTGATGTTAGCGGACAGTCCGCCCACATCAAAGTGAAAAAATGTCATCGACTTCTATTTCTCACTGTCCGCCTTCGAGCCGTTCCCTTCCGGTGCTCCAACCAACCACGCTCGGCCAACTCGGAGATGATCGCATCAGCGATCAATTATCCCATCAGTTCGACTTGATGAACTTAGATAGACTTGCATTGCAGCAAAGCTCGATTAGGTTTCGCAGCGTGGCCTCGAAAATTCGTTCCGAGTTTTCCATCAAAGCTCGACAGGCAACCACTGGTTTTAAGTTACTCATGACCAAAGGCGGCATATATTCGTCAATATCCCTCCATATCCCGCGGTCATTTGGTGCAGTGGTTAAGCCACCCGTTTTCCAAAAACTCGGACTCGGGCTGTCGGGGGTTCGAATCCCCTAGTGATTGAAGGGGCTCGCCGGCTCGCGCTTCGGCTCTAAATCACTGGCTTCATCATGACCCAGTGGGTGGCGGCGTCGAATCACAATACGCAGTGGCTCTCTGCGACAAGCTGTGGTTCATGTTTTTACGTTTCATATCCTCTTATGAGCACTGGACCTTGCATCACAAACCATCTGCTACGCTTTTCGCACCCTTGCACGATATAAATTTCCAATGGTTCGAGGCTAGGGAATTAATTTCCTATACATGACGTACACCCAGATTGACCCCGAGGGTGACCAACCCGATCACCAGAGAATATCATACAATTCACAAATCGTGCGGCGGATTGGACCGCCACTGATCGCACCAGAGCCACAACTCGATTTCGCAGCATTCCCTGCACGCCGCCCATACAATTTTCTGCACTATATCACAATTGCTCGGGCCATAATATATATGCATAATAGGTGGGTAACACATAAAGGAAATAGACGAGTGGGATATTAGATGCTCACCGGAGACCCAGCGCATACCGACAGCCATATTTATCTAACAAAATGGAAAGATGCACGCCAGGGCTACAGGTTCAAAGAATACCAGATTCAGTACGTCTAGCGCGATCGACTCTTCTTAATTCGCTCTGCTCTCGCCATAGCGTACAACGCTTCTCGATCGCCGGATTCTTCCACCCATGCACGCAGCTTGCCATCAACTATTTTCAGCAGCTCTTGGGGGCTATCGAATTCAACCTGGAGGATAATATGAGCCGTGTAGAGTATCAATGAAAGTGTGATGTATAAATCACGATACGTCCTGCGTCGAGGACCATCTGAAACGGACATGCATTAGCCAGCTCTCGACAACATCTTCGACACGTACAATTTTATCCGCATCCATAATTGTCTGCAATCTGTGTGCCACTGTGATCAAAGATATATCCCCACGCAACTCTTGGCGAAGGGAAGTCTGGATGATCGAGTCCGTTTTGTAGTCTAGACGGCCAAATCAATGTGTGAAGAGCAGGCTTGGTGTTGTAAGAGGTTACCGATGGCGGAGGGTCGCTGTTTCGAGAGCATGAGTTGAGTACAGACAAACTTCGGAGAGGAGAAACTGACCTTCATCCAGAATTAAGATCTTGCTCTTCCGTACAATCGCTCTATAAACGTTCATGTGAGACGGCCGCCGTCGAGTGATCCAGCATTCGCAACTTCACCTTGCCAAAGCAAATATCTGCCTTTGTCCGACTGAGAGATTAGTCCCGCCCGTAGAAATGGTGCTGTCCAAAGTGATGCGGCCCTCGTCCATTTCGTCTTGGAGAGCAAAGAGGCCGGCGGCGCGGAGAGCGTAGTTGAGTTTCTACATCGCCATATTGGCCGAAAGGATCCAAGTTCGCGCGTAACGAGCCGCTGAGAAGCTCAGGCTGAGAAACACAGATATCAGCGTGAAATAATTAGTCGAGATTCCGCGCCACTTGCGACTTGAGGGATAATCGTGATGCTGGAGCGCAAAGCATCCAAATTCAACGTCGAGGTCTCCCGTCCGTCGTACTTCACGGAACCCTGGGTTGGGATGCATCGTAGAAGAGAGAGCGTCAAGGAGCTCTGTCGACCTATTAGCGATCCTTTCTGGGACAGGGATAAAAAAATACCTTTCCAGAACCGGTGCGACCAACTACCCCACGGGTAAATAAATGACTTGAAGTTGAAAAAAAGTGAAATACTTACCAACACCAACCCTTTCTCCAGACTTGATATGGAACGAGATATCTTGTAAAACCATTGGGCCGTCTTCGGAATACCGAGCAGAAAGACCCTCTACGCGAAGATCTCCGCTTGCAGGCCAATACGCCGGCGGTTTCCCCTCTTCTGTTGCGGGCTTTTCATGCTCAATGTTGATGTATCCTTGGATCCGCTCGAGACTAGCAGATGTAAGTGTCACTCGCCAGTGATTGTCGTGTAAGCGTAAGTTTACCTATTGGCTGAGTTTGAATGCATGAGTGAGTGAAGAAGAGGGTGCGCCTGATTCATCTACCTTTCACTTCGAAGTCGTTAATATATCTTACCTACAAATAGCTCATTAGCATAAATGACGAATCGGATCTCGTGGATACTGACAACCCAGATAAGCAAGCCTGGGCAGGAATCAATCGACGAGCCCACAGTTGAGGGAGGAAGAACGAGACTCAACTGGTAAACGTGATCGCCATATTCAAGAGAAATCCAGAATCCGCTGCGCTAGCGTGCTTATAGTAGACAAGATAGGTGGCAAGACCTGCAGAAAATATTGCGCCTAAGAGGTCAACACGTATTGAGACCCAGCTAACTTAACATCAGTCTCAGGACCTGAGCAGAAGAGTACACTAACCGGTTCAAGTTGTAGTAGTTGCGGGCTGCCCTTGTGTATCTATCAATTCTGGCGAGCGATTCCGTGCTGAATCTGGACTCTGCTCCGAACGCTCGGATAGAAACTGAGAAAAAGAGGTTGTGTATTAGTTGACGGTCGGAAAGAAGGGAACAGCAGGACCCAACCAGCAATAACATCGCAGAAACTTCGACAAAAGATATCAGATGACACTGGCAGAACTATGGGGTGTGGATACATACTGTGCAAGCACGGGAGCTCGACTGTTGGACATCATTCGCTTTACTGGTAGCTGGCCCGACATGTATATCTGTCCAACCCAAGCCCCCAGAACGCCGACGAGAGCACCGGGGAAGAAAAAGACGGGACTATAAATAACCACAGCGACGAATTTCGCCTATATATCTGGTTCAGTTGAATCCAGTCGTGCGAAATATTTTCGCACCAGCACAGAGGTGATCATAGATGTGAGAGGCCAAAATTCGCTAGCGAGAGCGTCGTCGACAGTTCTCACATCATTCGTGACACGCGCAATAATACGAGACGTTGGAGTGACGTCGAACCATCTGAAAACGGGGGAAAACATCAACGACTGTCCCAAGAAAAGACAAATAGCGGGCCTTAACGGAGCGCCGAGAACCGAGGCGACAAGGTTGACGTGTATCACCTTTGATGCTCTTGACTGCGCGAATACAAGGCAGATGAATGAAGCAGAAAGACCGATGGTTGAGATAACAACGATCGCAACTGTTTCCTTTTAGCGGAAAAAAAAAAGTAGAAGGAAAACAAACTAAACTGAAGATCGACAAATAACTGCGATACAGTCAGTCTATGGTTGTGAATGCCATTCGAAACAAACTTACAATACGACGTCCACCTCTTCAGCAGGACGTGGTCATACTGCTTGGCCCAGTAACCCAACTGCCATGTCCTCAACGCAACCAAGCCTTGTTGGACAAAAACGGCACCAAAAAAGAACGTGAAGAAGAAGATCGGGTGTCTGCCGCCCATGGCAGCGAAATACATCTTTACTAGAATGCAGAATGAGTAAAAAAGGAATGAAGTCAAGAAGCAAAGACAAACAGGCAGAGCCGCTTACATGCCCCAGCTGAATTTCCTCGGCTACGATGAGCTTGCCATCTGCAATGTCAGAAGGCTTAGCCGTTGGGGCTTCGGCATCAACTTCCTTTTCTTCCTTAGCCAGGACTTGTTTGTCTTGTTGAAGCTGAGCCGCCAAGGGACCAGGCTTCGTTATTTCGGAAATGACACCTTGACTGTGCATGCGGCCGTCAGATCCGAAGCTGACCACAAAATCGGCAATTGGCTGAGTCAATGCGACATTGTGTGTCTTGCCTTCTGTTTAGCGTGGCACAGCAAATAATAAACGCACTGACCACAAGAATGACCGTTCGAGTTTCTGCGTGAGTTTGTCACGACGAGTGCTGAATTAAATGGCATAGACACACCAACTAGGTCTCCGCCAAGACATTTTTCGACAACCCATTGAGCGGTGTGGACACTGCGAGTAAATCAGTATATTGTGCGGCGGAAGAGAACTTGAACTTGCTCAAGAGCTGCAAGCACATCGTCGAGAAGTAAAATGTTGGCTGTCGAATACTGTTGAAAGACTTTAGAAGAATTCGAACTTCAACTGGAAATATCGTACAACAGCCCTGGCGAGCGTGAGGCGTGCCTTTTGACCTCCCGAGAGTGTAAGATCTTGAACGTGCTCAGGAAGAAGTAGATTCGGGGAGAAAAAAAACCCAGACCTTTCTCCCCCACCTCAGTTTGGTCACCGGCTTGGAACAGAGCGAGATCAGGCTCCAAGGCGCACTGGTACAGAACTTTCTTGTAACGTTCCTCGTCGAATGGAGTGTCGAAAGTGATGTTAGAGCGAATAGTTTCATTGAGCACCCAAGACTCTTGGGCAGCGTAGGCAACACCGGAGCTTCGTGGAAGATTGTACCAAGAATCCGGCGACGACGGAATGGAATGCATTTCGCCTCAGAAGAATCGTCTCAACCTGTCCCCTTGCAAAGAAACTTGACCTACCCAGAAGTGCCATGAGAAGAGAGGTTTTCCCTATCGCCAAAGGTCAATGTGAATTTACAAAGCAATCCAGGGCCCTCACCTGATCCCGTTGGTCCCACTACCAAATTGATTCGGCCCTGCCGAAATATAACCTCGCCGTCGATTTTCAACTGGAATTGGCGGGAATGGGTGGGCGAGCCATCGGACTCGTTCGACCACGAGAAAGTTGCGTTACGGAATCCAATCCGTTCATCTTCTACAGGGAAGCCAACCGGGGGTCTCGTTTTTGTCAAAGGCATCCAGCAATTCCGTCTGTGTTGCTATTAAACAAAAGTCCTTATTCGCAAACTTGGAGCTTACGTTTTTAGGAAGTCGTTGACACGATCCAACTGGCGAATGATAATCGTTACTTAAAAGATGTGCGAAAGAACCATAAGAGGCATACGGAGACTTTCGCCGTCATTAGGTGGGTCAGCCAGCGGGTGATCTGAAAGGTTATGTTCAATAGACATAAAACCAACTTAAGGGTAGAATACTTGGCCAACGTTAACCCTGGAACCATTTAGCATTGGATAACAGCCGATGTGAAAGAAAGTCACCTCAAGAGATCGAAAACGGACATAGTGGAAAAA